GGAGCCAGGCAGAAGGAGAAATCCCACACAAGACAGGCTCTAGAGCAATGTGGATATCCTAACTGGGCCTTCCTGAAAGCAGAGAAGAAACCCAAACAGGACTCCAGTCAGCCATCAGGTGAAAAGGAGGAACCCAGACCCAGACCAGTGGTCATTCCGTATGTTGAGGGAGTATCAGAGAAACTGAGACGTTTATTTTCTAAACATAACATCCCAGTGGCTTTTAAACCCCAAAATACATTACAGCAAAGACTGGTTCATCCCAAAGATCCAGTCCCCCGGTACAAACAGAGTAATATTGTGTATGCTGTTCAGTGTCAGGAGGGTGATCAGTCTTACATCGGGGAAACTAAACAGCCACTGGCCAAAAGGATGGCCCAGCACAGAAGATCAACATCATCAGGCCAGGATTCTGCGGTCTACACTCATCTCCAGGCCAGCAGTCACTCTTTCAAGGATGAAGATGTTCACATCCTGGACAGAGAGGAACGATGGTTTGAGAGAGGAGTAAAGGAGGCCATCTTTGTGAAAAGAAATCGTCCATCATTAAACAGGGGTGGAGCCTCCGGGTTCAACTGTCCCCCTCTTACAATGCTGTGATTGCTAGTATCACTCAGCCCTCTGTGAACAGTAAACAGCCATCAGTGTGCTAATGATCCATTGTTAGGCTGATGGTCCTTCTTGAGCATGTGATCAGCTGGTTTTGGTTGTCAGCAGCAAACTGGTTGATCCACTCTAAGAAGGTGCTATTTAAGAGACTGAGCTGAAAACAGCACCTCAGACTGAGGAAGTCTCTTGGATGAGAGACGAAACGTTTCTAGATTTTTTTTGCTTTTGTTTTTTTTGAATGTCCAGAGGACCAGATTGAACTTTTTTGAATCTATGTAATATTTGAGTTTCACTTTCTGAAACGATTGACAAAAATTATTGAACTTTTTCATCATATTCTAATTTTTTGAGTTGCTCCTGTATGCCTAGAGGAAGCCACACCCCTAAATGGACATCTGTACCTCCATTATTTATGAAGTCATCACGCTCACATCATGGATGGATGGATGATGGATGGATATTCTCTGTCTGCTGGACCTGGTTCTGGAGGGCAGCTGCTGTGGTTGTTATCATCATCATGCTGCTGAAACAACCTCATGGTAGATGTATTTCATTTTCATTGTTGGCGCCTTGTTTTTGTATTCTTGCTGCATGTTTTGGGATTTCTTGTTGATTTTTTGGCGAGTCGAGACGGTTCTTCTCGTCCTCAGCATTTCATTGCACTGATGACCTTGTGTCTGTAGTTTTCTCAGGCTCCCTCCCCAACCTGACCAGCGATGACATGTTTAGCCGTATGTCGGCTTTCGACCACAGGGCGTCCAGGTGGTGCTCCGAAAACAACGTAGGATTTGTAGATAACTGGAGTGCATTTTGTAGAAAACCCGGTCTGATGAGGAGAGATGGAATCCATCTTACCTTCAATGGAGCAGCACTTCTCTCTAAAAACTTAGCTGATTCAGTTGGACATCTGGGTTGTTGACAATTAACCGTCCAGTCTAAAAATCAGTCCAGGAAGCAAAGACGTAGTCTTCCACACTTCTCTGCTGTTTCTCTGTTTCCCACCCAAAACCCCATTGAAACAGTGCCAACTCACCTACGACTTAAATTAAATAAACCAAAAATCAGCTCTAAAAACATTAACCATAAAATCTGAGTAAAATAAACAACTACTTTACCAGAACAAAAGAATAAAATCATTAAATGTGGATTATTGAACATCAGATCTCTTTCCTCTAAATCCCTGTTAGTTAATGAACTGATAACTGATCATCATATTGATTTATTCTGTCTGACAGAAACTTGGCTACAACAGAAGGATTTTGTTGGTATAAATGAATCCACTCCTGTTAATTATTTAAATTTTCATGTTCCTAGAACAACTGGTCGAGGCGGAGGTGTAGCTTCTATTTTTCAGTTGGGACTATTAATTAATACTAAACTAATTAGTAGTTATAATACTTTTGAGTCACTGTCTCTAAGTTTATAACATCCTAAATGGAAAATGGAGCAGCCACTCTCACTAGTTGTTATATATCGTCCACCAGGCTCAGTTCTTGTCTGAATTCTCAGAAATATTAACAGACTTATTATTAAATACTGATAAAATCATCATAATGGGTGATTTCAATATTCATGTGGATGTTGAGAGTGATAGCTTAAGCATAGCCTTTAATAATTAAATAGACTCATTTGATTTTACCCAAAACGTCCACACATCTACTCATTCTTATCATCACGCCCTTGATTTAGTTCTGACCTATGGTATAGAGATTAAGGACTTGGTAATAGTTCCTCAAAATCCTATTCTGTCTGACCATTTTTTAATAACCTTTGAGTTTACATTAAATGACTACACAGTCACTGAGAGTAAATTTCATCTCAGCAGGTGCTTATCAGAAAATGCTGTAACCAAATTTAAACACTCTCTTCCATCAATGTTTTCCTCTGCCTTGCAGAGTAATGCATCAGAGAACAGTGACTTAGATCATCTAGTTGATCATCTTACAACTTCAAGTCAAGTAAGATTTATTTATAGAGCACATTTAAAACAGAAACTGTTACCAAAGTGCTTAACAAAAATATCACAACATCAAATAAAAAGTAACAAGATATATTTACAGCACATGGAATAAAAATATAAAACCGAAAACATAATTAGAAACAATGAAATACTAATCGACTCAACCTTTTCAACAAAATGCCTGACAAACTTATTACAGGTGTCAACAGAGGCCTCATTGGTGGCAGACTGATGCATGTTTAGAATGGTGTTAATGGTGTTGAAAAGAACGCGGGGACTGTTTAAGTTGATAATTTTTGAGAAATATTTGTTTTTCTCCCGTTTAACGGTGGTCTGATAGGCTTTCCAACATGATTTTAACAATCCAAGGAAACCTCGAGTTTATCTTTTTTCCATCGACGCTCAGCTCTCCTGCACAGGCGTCTTGCCTCTCTTGTGGTCTCATTTACCCAAGGGTGGGGCATGCATTTTCGATTCCTGAGCTTTAACTGGGTGACTGAGTCCAGGATCTGTACACATGCCTCCTGATGCTAAGAAAGCAACTCCTTTGTAGTAAGACCCACAGAGAGTTCAGAGTCTGAAACAGAATTACTAGCAAAGATGGAAGAGTGTGGCAGTGGAAGGGTTAAAAATCCTACAGGGCTTGGGTGTGGGGGGAGGTGCAGGTTCACAAATCAAAGAGGTGTTGAATAAAACCGGT